ACTGGTGTTCCAACCCTTTTTCAAAATCTCCCAAGGATTTTGAACATTTATTCATGTGTGTGTTTGCCATCTGAATGTTCTCTTTGGTGAAGTGTCTCTTCATATCCTGTGCCCACTTTGTGATTGGATTGTTGACCTTTTTCTTTTTGAGGTGCTGGAATATTCCATAAATTTTAGATACAAGTTCCTTATCAGATACGTCACTGCCAAATATTTTTTCCCAGTCAGTGGGTTCCTTCTTAGCGTGTTAGAGAAGTCTTTTGATATGCATAGGGATTTAATTCTTAGAAAGTCCCATTCATCTATTTTATTCATACCTAGCTGTAGGTTTTTCATTAAGCTTGAAAGACTGTTCGTGCTGCGGATTAGGGCTTTAGAGGTCTTTCTAGCTTTACTCTGATGAATTTTACTGTCTTTGGTTTACTTCTAGGTCCCCAATCCACTTTGACTTGGTTTTTTAAGAAGGTGTGAGGTGTGGGTCTTGCTTAAGCTTTCAGAGAGATACAGATCAAAACAACTATGAAATATCTCACCCCAGCAACAGTTCAACAGCAAAGTTCAGCAGGGCAGCAAGCATCCAATGCTGATGAGGTTGTGGAGAGGTCGGAACTCTTATACACTGCTGGTGGGGACTTAAAATGATACAACCACTGTGGAAGGTGACTTGGCACTTTCTCAGAAAGTTGGAAATAGAAATACCATTTGACCTAGCAATTCTACTGCTGGGAATATACTCTAAAGAAACCAGAGCCACAACTCAAACACATATATGCACACCCATGTTTATTGCAGCATTTTTTACAATAGCAAAGAAATGGAAGCCACCCAAGTGCCCATCAATAAACTGATAGAAAAACTATGATACATCTGCATAATGGAATGCTACGCAATATTGAAAAACAATGAAATACCAAAACTTTACACACATGAGGGAACCTTAAGGACATTATGCTAAGTGAAATATTTTAGTCACAAAAGGATAAATGCTGCATTACACCACTTATAAAATAGGGCATATAAGAACTAGGGAAGGGAAGGGAAGGGGAGGAGAGAATATGCAATGGTGACAAAAATAAAAGAGAAAAAAATCTTAAATGGATCTTTCCTTATCCTGTTACAACATGAGCTATAAACTTTGTTCATTAAAACTGTATAAAGAAATTGCATTAGGACATTCTGTAAGTGAAGTTGAACTTGTAAAATTCAAACAAATTTTAGTCCTTTTTATGAGCTGTTTTTCTAAAACACTGAGCAATTTCACCTGGCTTAGTAGTAATTTAATGACATCTCTAGGAAACTCCATGATCATACCATAGACTACCAAGAGAACAAAAAAGTCTATCCTAGAGAGGGTGAAGGCAAGCTGCTCCTTGGAGGCAAAGATTGTGAAGCTCTGTCTCATGTACTTTAGGCGTGTTGCCAGAAGGGACCAGTCCTTGGAGAAAGACATCCTGCTTGGAAGGGTGGAGGGTCAGAGCAGGAGAGTAAGACCTTAGATGAGATGAATCGACAAGGTAATTGGGGGAAGGTGTGTCAGTGACAGTGAGATTGACTCAGAATAGGACAAGGTTGAGAGCTGTTGTTCATAAGGTCACTGTGAGTCATAGTTGACTCACCAGCAGGTAACAACAGGTAACTCTTTCATGGCAATCACTCGTGTTGTAGCTGTAAGTGGTATAAATCATTGATCTCACTTAACACCTAATTTAATTTCTTGATAAATGTATAGGTTTCATTTGCATAATTCTCACGAAAACCAAATTAACATGTAAGAGAAATGAATGATTCAAGAAAATGGAAGGAACTATTTCTTAAATTCCTTCCTTGCTCCTACTAAAAGTCATTTCTTTGTTTTAATGTCTCTGCTCAGTAATATTGAAAAAATGATTCATCATTTCATTAGTGTAGAGCCCTAGTGGTTCACCACTTAAGCTCTCGGCTGCTACGTAGAAGGTTGGCAGTTCAAACCCACCTAGCAGCTCCATGGAAGGAAGACCTAATTGTCAGCTTCCCTAAAGATTACACAGCCGAGGAAACCCAAGTGACATTTCTGTTCTGCCCCTTATGCTTGCTGAGAATTGGAAGCACCTTGACAGCACATCACAACTACTGATAATCATTTGACTTGTTGGATAAGAAAAACTGACATAATTGATTGGGAGCATTCCTTTAAAAAAAAAAATCCAAGCGAGGATAAAGGATTTTGTATATATCTGCAAGATGAAAGATAGGCAAAGTGGTATTAAAACCCTAATCCTTCTCTTTTAGAAGATGTTGTAATAGTCACGCATCTATTTATCTAGCACCTCATGTCGATCCAGGTGCATGGGAGGCATTCATTGTTGCTTGAATAAAAATCACAGCTAACATTTCAAAATGATGGTTGGAAATTTTTATAAATCCCTCGGATACAAAATATTTTCAAGCAAGGTCCCTCCTTATAAAGGGAAGTTGCTTTTACCTTTCATGAAAGTCTAAAAGAGTAACAGCCTCTTCTGTCTCATTGGACCTTATTGAAATATTTTTACTTAATTTCCTAAATGGGTTCTGTCCATTTTCCTTCCCATTTTTTGGTTCTCTTTTGTAATACATTCTATTGAAGTTTTATAATCCATTCCTGCTTGGACACCATCTAGAAGTGACGAGGGCAGTAAGGAGGAGTCCATCTTTTAATTTAGCCAGCGGTTGTTTTATGTACTGTCAAGATGAAATCGACTTAGAGATGACTTTCCCGGCAGGTTTTCAGAGGCAGTAAATCACAAGGGAAGAGATTATCCTTCTTTTCCCCCCACAAGCAGCTGGTCAATTTGAACCATGTACCTTTGTGTTGGCAGTGCATTGCCTTCTCAGTAGGCCACCAGAGCTCCCCTGCCTAGCAGAGGATTATTTTTTAATCAGTCCATTTTGATAGATTTATTAGTATGTGTGTCTTCCTTGGTTTTCTTCCCTCCCCCCAGACTAAGTCAGTTGTAACATATCTAATAGTATATTTTTGATACTATATTAATAAAATGTGTATAACATTTTTGTTACTATGTTAAAGCGTGTGTATTATGTGTTCAAATGCAATCAAAACTTGGTTTATTCAGATTTTAGCACGAAGGATTTATAATTTAAATGTGGATCAAACATAAATGGACATGCACGCTATCCATTTTAACTATAAAATGAATACATCGACTGTTCAGAAACTGGCAGTAAGGAATCGCATACACATTTACAATCAGTGAGGTGCACATGGCTTGTTTTCACCGGGAACGATTAGGCTTTTAGGGAGTGCTGGTGACATCGTCTATAGGCAGTTGCACCACCGAGCCAAAGGTTCGAATCCACCAGGAGCAGCATGAGAGAGAGAGATGGAAAGGTCCTTCTGCGTGGTTTACAGCCTCCAAAACCCTGCTGGATGGTCAGCTCTGAGTCACCTGAGTCCGCGACAATGAAAGGGTGTCAGTTCTTTATGGGGATATGGTGCTATGTTACTAGTTCTGTCGTAGTTAACAAATTAAGCTGCCAAACAAAAGGTGGGCAGTTCGAACACACCACTGCTCCTCAGGAGACAGAGGAGACATTTGGCTTCCATAAAAATTCCCTACAGGATCCCTGGGAGTTGGAATTGATTCAGTGGTTGGAAGTTTGGGTTTTGGGCTTTGGTACAAGTTATATAGGAGTGTAACTTACAGTAAAAGTTGACTGAAGAATGTTGGAAAATTTTAAAGCATACATTTTAGAAAGACTCTAATTTATATTTCTTTCAATGCTGTCACATTTCAGTTTGTTGGAGAGGATGAAATTTTCAAATCTTAACTGATGGCATTATTTTTGTTAATGGAATTTGGTGTCTTATGAAAACATTCTATGAGCGTTTTCTCAGAAAACCACCCCTTAAACAGCCTGGGAGTCATATTTCTCCCTGGGATTTACCATAAAAACAGTCTTCAAGACTGAATCTATGATCCTGATTCGAGTTTTGGGATGAAAGGCAGGCTGTGGAGCTGAGGTGTCCCTCAAACCCCAGTTGATTTGGGGAGTTATCCTGGATGTTTGGATGCTTACGAGTAGCTTGAGGGAAACAGAAGAGGGTGATGATTCTGATTTGCTCAGAATTCCTTCCAAAGCAGCCAAAAAAAGGTCTCACTAGGTCAAGTTTCCTTCCCTCCAGATTCCAACTGTGTGGTAACAGAGACTCAAAGAGCTGTGCTGTCAGGGATTGCTACTGACTGGGCCACAGGTGACTGGCCGGATGTATGAGCTGCTTTTTCCCTCTCCAGTGGCCTACCTTGTCCCTGGGGCAGCTTGACAGTGGATCTCGATTCCTCTCCTTTCTTGAATGCTAAGATTCCTTTGGAAATAAATTCATTAAATAAGTCCACAACACCACTAGGGAGTCCTTAGCGTGTGGTACTTCTACCGAAAGTCTGCCGTGGTTCGAATCCTCCTGCTGCTCCGTGGGAAAAGGATGGGTCATCTCTCCCCATTAAATGTACAGGCTCAGAAGCTCCGTATGGAGGGTTCCTGTGAGTTGGGGCCAACGTGATATCAATGATTTTGAGGTTCCTGTTTATTCTAATACCTTTAAAAATATGTATGTATCTTAAATAAACCTAGATCATGCTTGAGGAAAGACACAATCAAGAATTCTCATAGTGAGTGGCCAACTAATTGTCAGTGTTTGCTTAAAATAAGATCACATTGTTGTAGTATGTGTAAGTTTCTTTGGCTGTCCCTTGCATGTACTGACAGTTACTATTCCTGGCTGCTAACTGAAAGGTTACAGGTTCAAGTTTACCAAGAAGCACTTGAAAGAAAGGCCTGGAGAGCCAATTTTTTAATAATCAGACTCTAAGAATTCTGTAGAGTGGAGTTCTACCCACACACAGGGGGTGGCTGTGAACGGGGGTGTACCCAGGGGCACCTGGTTGCTGTAAGGGTCTTAGGGAGGAGTTGTTAGAGGGCAAGTTATCAAAGTTGTCAGTGCCTCTTTTCTTCCCACATCTACCCAGGGATGTGTCTTCAGAGTCAGACAACAACATCCGGCAGATAAACCAAGAGGCTGCCCACCGGCGCTTCCGCTCCCGGAGACACATCAGTGAGGACCTGGAGCCCGAGTCCACGGAGGGCGGGGACGTCCCTGAGGTACGGCCACAGAGGGGTCCCGAGTTTTCGGACCTGCAGGTTGATGTCAGGTTGTCAAGTCTTCACTTGGTAAACATGGCTCAGAAAGGAAAGAGGAAGTTCTCATAGCTAGTTAATGTCTCTCTGGATATTAATATAGAAAGGGTTTGCAAAGCCCATATTTGACAAGCTCATTCCAGAATGGAATGGCTTTATATTTTAGTATGGAAATGATGGAAATCTTAGGATATAGTCACTTTATATTTTTTTCCTCAGCATCTAACCAAATAATCATTAATTGGTAACATGTTTATAATATGTGAACAAGCAAATGCATCCTCTAACTCGTTCAAGTCTCAAAGTTGGGTTTTTGTTTGTTGTGAGTTTTTAAAAAAAAAAACCACAGTATTATAACATCTTAGAAGGGATTATCAAGGGAGCTCTGGTGGCCTAATGCCAAGAAGCTGCACTGCAGTCCCAGAGGTGCACGATTCAAACCCACCAGATGCTCTGTTGGAGAAGGAGGGACAATCTCCTCCTGTACTAGTCAGATCTGATTTGACGGTACACACACAAAAAAAATAATTAAAAGATTTTTTAAAAGGAGGGATTGCATAATGTGTCTTTATTTTTTGTTGCTTTAAAAAAAAATTGTGCATAGTTTCTTACCTTCATTGTTTTGAGGACATTTTTAATGGGAAAAATTATGAGGAGAAGAAATTAGCACTGACCAGAATCCTCAGGCTGCTTTGTCACCTTTTTTATTTAAGAAGAATCTACTGTTTTTGTAGACATTGTGCCATAAAGATGATAAAAAAGTTATACCATGTTATGGTTTAGAGCATCTATGCTGTTTTGAATGTGCCTTTTCAGTAGAATTAAAAAAAAAAATCCATAAAACCATTTATGTATTCTTAAGAGTAGTTTTTACTGTGCTCTTGGAGCCTTGGTGGTACCATGATTTAAGCATTAGGCTCCTAAACCCACACATAGATGGTTCAACCTCACGGGCTGTTCATGGGGAAAAACTGAGGCCATCTGTTCATATAAAGATTTACAGCCATGGGGAGCGCTGGTGGCCTAGTGGCAAGAAGCTGCACTGCAATCCCAGAGGAACACAGTTCGAGTCCACCAGATGCTCTGCCAGAGAAGGAGGCGCAATATCCTCCTGTACCAGTCAGATCTGATTTGACGGTACACACACACAAAAATAATAAATTAAAAAAAAAAGATTTACAGCCTTAAAATATCTGTCAGGCTGTTCTTCTCTGTCTTACAGGTTCACTGTTGTGGGAGGCCCCTCAACAGCAGTGGGAACGCATCCTTGGATGTGTCTAGATAGTGGCCAGGCATCCTCTAGTTCCTTGGAATATGTGTAAAGTGGCAAGTTCTAGAATCAGGTCACTGCTCAGAAAGGTGGTTCGCGCAGCAGTTACTAGCACAGCCTTTGAGGATGTGCTTCTTGGTTCTAGTCCCGGCCCTGTCACTTATGGGCCTCTGCTACCTTGGATCTCTTACTCCGTGTGCCTCAGTTTCCCCATCTGTGAATTGAGGTGGTCGTCATGTCTTCCCCGTGGTTGTTGTGAAGATAATACGTGTTCAGGAAATGTTAATTATAGTTATCCCAGTAGTTATTGTTGTACATTTGACGGGGGGGGGGCATAGGGAAGGATCCCCAGTTCCAATATATACCATGATGTCTTGTTCCTTGAAAGCCTTGGGAGACCATTTCAGAAGAAGTGAATCTCGCAGGAGACTCGCTCAGCCTGGCCCTGCCGCCACCCCCTGCTTCCCCCGTGTCCCGGACGAGTCCTCAGGAGCTGTCAGAGGAACTGGGCCGGAGACTCCAGATCACCCCGGATTCCAACGGGGAGCAGTTTGGCTCCTTGATTGTAAGTAGCAATCTCGTTTGAGTAAGTCAAGCAAATGACTTAGCAGTTGGTTGCTTTATGAGAACTGAGCATGTAAATAATGACCAAGAATCTCTTAGCTCCCAGGTAACTCCTCCCCTCCTCTCCCTGGAAGAGAAGGACTGTACCAATTAGCCCTGCCAGGTGAGAAAGCCTGTGTCAGCTTTATCCTTGGGGAGTGCTCCTCCCCACCCCAAACCCCACCCTCTAGCCAAAAGCTCGTGAATGATGCCTTCGTCACAGAGGTGGTATTTTACACCAGGACGTTAGAGAGGTCAGGCCTCCAAAGTCTGACTTGCGCACGTCATTATTCTAGTTCTCAGGGGGAGGTGTGGTATGAGGGTGACCTGTCTATGGTTAGGATGGAGAAAGGAGACATCAAAGTCCCAGAGTACAAATCCTTGAACAAGTTGTCACTTGTGACACTAACATCAAGGTTGGAGTTGAACTTGGGTACTCAGCCACCTGATAGTCCTTCCAGGTGTTTCAGGTGGGGCCGGGCCCTGGTAAGAAGCAGAGGCTTTGGCCAGGAAGCCCTGAATAGAGTCAGACTGTGCTAACCTCTCCCAAAAAGCCCAGAGAGAATTCTTGCTCACACACAGTGAGGAGAGCAAACACCACCTCTCAGTGTTTCCCAAAAGCCTGAGCTGAAAACGGACTTGAGTGAGTGGCAGCAGTCACGCCGCTACAGACGGTATCCTAGAAAAAGTGGTCATTGTTGGTGTGTGGGGGGGCCGTGGGAAAGATGGGAGGAGGGCCTGAAACATATATGCTCTCAAACCAGCCCCTCGCCCAAGGACGGCATGATGGTTTTAAAAGGGAGCATATTTTGCATGAACTATAATGATTACACAGATAGTATGAAGAGGGACATCATGCTTGGGAGGGTGGAGGGACAGCACAAGAGAGGAGACCCGCGATGAGATGGATTGACTCAGGGTCTGGGTAATGGGGGTGGCTGTGTCAGAGACAATGAAATTGGCTCAGGAGAGAGCAAGGGTCAGAGCTGTTATACAAAGGGTTCCTATGAGTCGGAGTGACTTAACAGCATTTAACAACAAACAACAACATATTAAATTCTGTCAGTGTTATTTAAAAAAATACCACTGAGATAAAAATTCAGTTCTAAAGAAACAAAAAAAGAAGTAGCGTGTATGGAATATTTGAACTGGCAAGACTGTTGCTATAGAAACAGCATTTGTCCTGAAACTGTATCTTTAAAAACCATGAAAGGAAGGGAGGACCACAGAAACCATAGCAATTACATACATGTAGTCTACTAAGTGAGATTAAAAAACTAATCTTTTTTTTCCATGTTATTAAGCAAGCATTTCTAGTTATTTATGGAAGTAACACTTGTATTTCATTATTTTAGATGTATAAAAAACCCTTAAGGCTCAAGGTACAATGGTGTTTTATTTTATTTGAAGGATGTTTTCTGTCAGCCTGGTGACACTATTAAACAATAGTAGCAAGGAAGAGAACTAGAGCCCCGGTGGCACAGTAGTTAAAGCTGCCAACCAAAACGTCCTTGTTGGTAACCCCCCAGCCTTTCTGATGGGGAGGGGTGAAGCCGTCAGTCCCCTTCCGTCATCATGTCCTTCTTGTAAACCCCACAGAGCAGTTCTGCTCTGTCCTGAAGGGTCGCTATGAGTTGGGATTGACTCAACAGCTGTGGGTTCTGGCTTAGGAACAAGAAGACAACAGGACTTTAATTTTGCTTGTCAAGGTCATTGTTTATTCTAGGACAGTAGCACACACACTTATACCAAAGAATGTGTCATTCACACTAACCATTGTGGAAAGACAGAGCGTTCCCAGTGCCATGACTTGTCAGCAGCTGGCCCTGGTGGCTTTATAGGGGCCTCTTGGGTCTCCTTTTGAGCTGTGTTGTGGTTGTTGTGTGTTGTTGAGTCAGGACCGACCCATAACTGTCCCTCCAGTGGGTTTTCAGAGGCAGTTAATCACATGGGAGGAGACTGTCCAACCTTCTCCCACGGAGCAGCTGGTGGATTCAAATCCTGTGCCTTCAGGATTAAGCGCAGCTTCTTACCCCCCTAGGCCACCAGAGCTCTCTGTGGCTTTCTCTTCTTTTTGCCATTCGTTCTAATTAAGCAGCCATCAGTGCCATCCATCGTGTCGTCTCCAGTTCTAGCAACTCTCTCATTGGGTTTCCAAGCTGTAAATCTTAGCTTTCTCCCTCAGAGTAGCTGGTGGATTCGAACCTGGATTTGCACAGCCTTTTTGTAAGCTGCACAGAATACCACAAACTGTGTCACCAGAGCTCCTTAATTGGAAGTATAGATTCATCAGCCTCTAGTCTAAGAGACTGAGAATTTAAACGGAAGACGACTTGACTTCTTAAAAGATTGCTGCAGAGACGATTTTGTTGCGTCCGCTGTGATTGTCTCAGCAGTAGGGACTAGGATTGTGTGAGTAGGACTGACAGCGAGGTGCTTTCGGCCTCTGAAGCCTGAGTCACAGCAGACAGCTCGGTAACATCCTCTCTTTCCTCCCTGCAGCAGAGAGAGCCGTGCTCCCGACTGCGGTCCTGCAGCGTCACAGACACGGTGGCTGAGCAGGCTCACCTGCCCCCGGTAACCCGCGCTCCTTTTCAGTCACGGGCTTTCTCCGCTTTAACCTGCCACCCCCTGGGCTGCTGGGGAAGAGTTCTTCCTGTCTAGCATACAAATCGAGTATTTTAAACCTTTCTAACAAATTGGCCAAGAGATGTCCAGTACAGAGTTGTAACTGCCATCACATTCTCTAAAATTTTTTAAAGTTTCTTCCCTTTAGTTCTTCACCAGAATAATACCCAATCTGATGTGCTCCTTTGCCTGAAAGGCTGCATTGAGAACTCTCTTTCTTTTTCTGTAAACATCACTCCATCTCCGCAGCTGTGCTCCACGGAGCTGTTTGTGGAGAACATATGGAATCAATCCTTTGACACAGGAAGGACTCTTTCTGAGTTAGCAGCCGAATGCTCCTTTTCATTTACCAATGACCTAAATTCTCAACCCCACACAACCTCTTCCCCCTCTCATGAAAGGCAGTTCTTCTCACTGAAGAATTGGCTGTCATGTGCCTCCTCCTACATTTTTAATAATTCCCAACAAATATGGACATGTGGGCAATTAGTAACAGGACATCTCTGAAAATCAGCCTTCAAATTGGCAGGCAGAGCAGAGCTGAATAAGGGGAGCTGTGTGGTGCACATGTTAAAAGAAAGAACTCCTTTTTAAATGTGTCTTCATCTGTAGGTAGAAATACATGGTTTTAAAATGGTTAGTGTGGTGTTTGACTTTGCCAATTTATTTTCTTATTACTACAAACCTTTGATCATTTTCAGTACTGACACTCTTACTAGTAATTTATTCATTTGAAAAGAAAATATATGAAATGTCCACATTTGGTTTTTGAAATCACAGTGTCTTCCCACCTTTATATATTATTACTCTGCTCAAAAAGTATTTTTGCCTAGGATTTTGTGTTTAAAAAAAAAAGAATGAGTGTATTAGTGAACCAAAATGGGTTAAGTTGACTTAAATCAGGCAGGCTTGACAGGAGCGTCCTTCCTGGGATGAATTTGGTACAGACTGCCTGAAAAACACAGCCATCTGCTCTGCTTGACTCAGGGGAGTTCTGTCTCGTCTCAACCTGATGATTCGGTGATTTTTCTTTGATGAATTAATGACACTTCTTCTCCTTTTCAAATTCAATGTCAATTACATGTGCAAATACATTCTAGTGATTCTTCAATCTGTCCCAGCTTCCTAGAAACTGTTATTTCCCTTTCCCATATGCTCAATCACATTGGACATTCACTGATCACCGATGGCCTTCCTTGTCCTTGACTTTGGAGTTTGGCAGATTTGGGGATCTGCCAGTTAATTATTTAATAGGCTCTCTGGGTGGCACAGCAGTTGGCAGCCTTAAAGGTGGCCGTCCTTACCCACCTGGTGGCACCACAGAACCCAGCCTGGGACTCTCCTCCTGTGAAGACCACAACCAGAAAACCCAGGGACGCAGTTCTACTCTGTAATACATGGGCTCCCTGTAGTCAGGACTGCCTCAGCTGCAGCGCACTTGCTTTTAATTTTTGTTTTTTAATTGTTGGTTTTGATGATTTCATACTGGGAGCAAAACCATACAGATTTTCCATTCTTTTTTTTTTAAAAAAGTGGCGTCTCATTCCATAGAGGTGGTCAGTTCATGGGTTCCCTCATGTACATCGCACCCTGAGCCACTTCTGGGGGTGCCAGAATTCCCCACCATCTTCTTGCTTGGCCATCAGTGACTGCTCCTGGACGGGGGGGGACCTCGGACTCTGATTTAATGTCACCTGCCTTATGCACACAATGACACTGGTTCCTGATTGGGTGAACGATGGGCTGTCTCCCCAAGAGCCTCTCATGGATGTCAGCTATTGTTTGACAGCCCAGTGCCCCGACTAGGAGAGCACGGTCATCAACTGTCACTGGTGGTGCGGAGCCAACGGTAATGACCCATTCTCAGATATAAACAGCAGATCTCTCTAGGGTGACTTCCACATTTTGTATCACAGTGGATTTACCTACTAACTTTTTTTTTCAGAGATATTTGTATAATTAGCCTTTGGGGGATGTTTATAAAGTCAGCTTCTTTGTGCTCAAAGCCACACTTGTTTGGGGTTGGTTTTTTTTTTACCCTCCTCTGTGAAGCTGGTATAGGATTAGGCAGTGTTTCATTCTGTGATTCGTGGGGTCCCAATGGGTTGGAACCAAGTCAACAGCATGGAATGATATCTTCACATTGTTAAAGGTACTAGGAACCATCTCTAGTCCTCTGTGATTTTTATTAGAAACACTGCCTATGTTTGATTGCATTAATTGAATTTGACTGTTGAGAACATTTTTGCTGTTTAGTTTTGTTATTCCTGGTGAGCTTGGTCTTTTATCATGGTGCTTGGTTAGAGTAATTTGACTGAAACAGTAAATCAGAAAAGTGTAGATTGTGCCCGGGAATGGTCAGCAGTGCCGTAGGCCATCCTCATCTGTGAACCCGCTCCACCTTTTTAACTCAGGATTTTACTTTCTACGTCGCCAGGAAAAACCATACTAACCAGAGTCCTTTCTCTACTGTTCAGAGTTCCTCTCAAGAATGAGCAAGTGTTCTTTTAAGTCCAGAGTGGGCAAGGAGGAGAAGACTGTATAACTCAGCTAAATGGTGTGGAGGGGGGATAAATGTCATTTTCTCCAAAGCAAGCCTCTGTTGCTTTTATTATTCATTATTTTTTAATTATTTACAATGTTCTTGTTTGTGAGCAACTTTTTGGGAGTGTTTACTGCATTGAGTTATTGGAATTTGAGTGTGTGTTTACAAAGCAAATTAGTTTCCATTCAACAGTTTATACACATGTTGCTTCATGACATTGGGAGGAGGCTTCTCAATGTAAAGGCAGACTTTCCACTTCCTCCTTAAATAGCCTGTCTCCTTTCAACACTTTTTCCTGCTTCTTCCTCCCTTCTGAGCTTTGATTTGGGGCAGATGCTGCCGTTTGGCTCTGTGTAGTCGATAAAGATTACATTCTTTACTGGTGCTTTTGTTATTCGCCTGATATTATGTGGTCAGGGTGTGGCGTTATGTACTGTGGAGTCAAAACTGACTCACAGCTGCCCCTCCAAAGAGTTATCAAGGGTAGTAAATTCCACAGAAGGAAATTGTCCTCCTTTCTTCCTCAGAGCAGCTGGTGGATTCAAACCATATGCCCTCAGGTTGGCAGTGCAGCTCCTTAACCACGAGGCCACCAGGCTTGGCAGTTGCTTAGCTTGAAATTTGTTCCTGGGTGTGGCTTCACATCCAGGCTTGAAGAGTGTGTGAGGGCTAGAGTCTCAAGGGTTCCACCATCTCTATCAGAAAATTAAGTCTAGTCTTTATGCTTTTGAATTATGTTCTTTTATCTGCTCCTCCTCTTCCTGTTCAGGACTTTTTCTTCTTTCTTTTGTCCTGATCAGTGTGGGCAGTAGTGGCAGCTGGGAACCACCTAGTTCTTCTGGTCTCAGGGAACTGTGGGCTGTGATTCATTGTCCCTTAGTCCTAAAGAGATCTGCTGCAATTGCCTCTTTTTCTACTTGAATTCCAAAAGACAGTTTCAACTGTAATTTGTTCTTTGAGCTACAAGAACTAGTAAAAAATCATTGTTTCACCTTTGTTTATAACAGTTTATTATTTGTAGTGGATGAATAAAGACAGTCCCCAGGTTTACAAATGATATCTGTCTTCCAGGCAAACTTAAGAAGTTGTATATGGCTCTTACTTAGTTTACTGCAATAAAAGACTTTCAGACTTCTCTATGGTTTAAAAGCTGTAGCTGCAGCAAGTGAAAATATCTGTGTTGACGAGTTTGTCTCCAGTTGAGGCTGGTTCTGTCATTTCAGAGGGAGAGAAAATCTACAGGACTTTAGAGGGCAGGGAGGAGGAGTTGTCTGATGGTTGTTGGGAATGTCCCATGGCTGCGGAATTTCCATAGAAAGCTGGTCATGTAATGGAACATTTAGGTCTTATTGTTGGTATTGAATGCTTGGCTGTGGACACAGGAATGTCAAGTAGATGACAGCAACAGTCAGCCCAGTTTATGTATTGAACTACAGGGATGCCTGTGAAAGTCAAGTGTTGGGTAAACCAAGCTTGGCCTCCAGAAGAATCCAAGGAATTCTGAATTTCCTGCTGTGTGCTAGTAATTCCTACAGGAGTCGTGAGCCGGAGAAGCAGATCATGTGTGTTAAGTGGTTTCAGTAGAGGTCCACGCTGATGTTGTGCCATCAAGTCCAAAGTGACTCATGGCTGACACTTTAGAGGCAGGAAAATGCATGGCAGGAGATTGCCTATCTCTTTCCCACGGAGCAACTGGTGGATACGAACTTCATACCTTTGGGTTGGCAGCACAGTCCCTTACCACTAAGCCACTAGAACCCCCTCCAGCTGATGAAGATCCTCTAATGATGCTTTGTTTCCGTTTTGCCGGTGTTAGGCCTCTGTCAGTGTGTTGAGCATTGGCGGCTGTCCTAGGGGCAGGTCTGAAATGACGAGACAAGCCCAGTACCACACACTGTGTGAGTGCCGCCGCGCGGAACAGCCTGCAACATCTCATTGAGACCCTCTCTTTCTTTTTCTTCTTCTTTTTATTAATTTTAATGCAAGTTTACAGAGACTTAGGGTTTCCAATCATTCATTTTTCTCCAGTCATGTACTTTTCTCCCTGCCTACCCCGTTCCCTCCAATTCACTCTTCTCCTTGAAAAGTAAAACTCTTTCCTTATACAATCCCTTCCACCAAATCAACTCCACTGTGCAGCCTTCATTCTGGACTCCTAAGACCCTCTCTTTCTTACACTTTTTACCCTCCCCCCCCTCCTCCCGGTCAGTGAATTCAAATCAATATAGTCTCCTTTTTAGGCTTGGGAGTAGGGCTTCCTCAGGATTTTACCTCCTGGTGGTCTTGTGGTTGCCACAAGCAGGCTGATAGTACACTGCCTCACATGTTTAGAAATGCTTGAAAGCGTCTCATGCTTCTCCTCTCCCACCCCCGCCATCCTGCTCTTCCCAGTCTCTCTTCCAATTCCATCCAGGGCTCCATGCCCCTTCCCTCCTCTCCTTCCCCTCTCCTCCAACTCCATGTCAGCCACGCACACAGTCTCACATCTTCACGTGTGCCATGCATGTGCATGTCATGCTGCT